CAAGATAAATTGCGATAAATCAGCTTTTCTACACTATTTGGCCAAAAATATGTGGACACCTGACCATCACACCTATATGTGGATCTTCCCCAAACTGATGTCATAAAGTTGAAAGCACACAATTGTCTAGAATGCCTTTGTATACCTTAGTTTTAAGATTTCCCTTCAAATTTCCCTTCAAGTTCACATTGAGTATGTACAAAAGGTTTATAAAGGTTTTGGACAGACATTGTAGGGTATGTTTTGACCTACATATGAATAAGACTATTCCTGCAAATCACTCTGAGTGTCGGAAACTGGATACTGCTGATTTTTATGTACGGTACAAATTATTATAACCCATATTTTTAGGTCATTTTCTATGTCTCTTGCTTTGAATGGTATTGAAATTGATAGCAAATTTCACTCATGAATTGCAATCTTCTTTATCAAATGATTCATTCCACTGCATAGTTTTCATCCAGTCAAGTTGTTTTAAAGGTGCTTGACTCTGGAAAAACTGGAAAAAAACAACCCACCTATTGCTCTACTCAAGAACAACCTACCTTTCTAGCTGCCTAGAAAATTATAAATCCTAGCACAGCACAAGTCTGAAAACAGATCAAATTCCCTGTGTATCTATTTTTGAAATAAACTGGTCAAAGGGGCTTAGGAATTTCCATGTATTGTGATGATCAATTTATTCTGACAAAAATGAGAAATCCCAAGGGTAGAGGAAACAAAAAAGGGAAGTAAATAAGAAAAAAAAGGAAAACATTGCTTTTCTAAATATTCATTCATGCATTTACTGTTAGAAAGTCTCTTACAAAGACCAGAAGAGACAGGGAAATGTGTTTTAATAGTGGAAAAGTTATTAATCCTTTTTGTTTTATTCTTTATTTATTTATTACTGATCATAATTCTTCTTATTTAAATCCCATAAAAGGCTTGTTTATTGGCCGGTGAGTCGTGTTTTGAAAACATGACAGCAGGGGAAAAGTCCACCCAGATATTTAGTACAGTGTCTTTGATGTTAATAAAAGGTAAATGTCAAGTAAGTAGAATAATGTCTAAACAGCATCACATAATTACAAAATTACAGCTCGCTAAATCCTACTCGGGATGTATATTATTATAATGTCATAAGCCTAATGAAGTAGTCTAAAATTGCAGTACAGTAACAAGTAAGTAAGTGCTTTGATAATTGCAGTTAATAGATATATAATTGTTAGCCTTACCATTTTGAACAATCATAACACAATCAGGCAGTGGGAGGATGACAAGTGCATTTATTTTCTGCTATTAAGCCGGGCAAGACTGATGAGCAGGTTTATTGTATGGTTGTTCATATCTGAAACTAAATCTATTTTGGCTCTGTACTTTCAAATAGTAGGATTAGTAAACTATGTTTATTAGTTTTCTATGTGAATTTCATGAATTGGTATTTGTTGGCAACTAAAATTATGGTGTGGAATACCTTTGAAAAACATAAATATTGTATGGCATGCTGCAAAAACCTGTCAACCTCGTCTTGGCAGTAATAGTAGTCAGTCTGCCTGAAGCTGTCTAAAACTTTGGTATCTAAGTATGCTTTTCACACCATTTGATCATTTTTTAAAAATAATGAACATGTAAATAAGCCTAAACAATTTAGATTTAGACTGATCAGACACTGGCTGTCAAAATGTCAATGAAGCTCATGCACTGTCACACCGTCAAAACAGAGAAGAGAGCTTTCGCCCTGTCCAAATGACAGCAGGCAACACGTTAAAATGACAGACCTAGAAATGGACTAATGCTCCTAACGTGGGCCGTTCATTTTAAATGACTGAGAGCTTCTGAAATCATAATAGCAGACATTGTAAAAGAATATTTTCTACTATTCTTATAAATGTGCTGTAACTCTATACTCTCCTTTATAATATATGGCAATTAATAGTTTTAATACACACATTATAAGTAATACATACATACATACATAAATACATACATAAATACATAAACATAAGTAGTAAAAATAAATAAATAAATAAACAAAAATGTAAAAAAGTAAAAGTCTCTGCTCATTATCCATGTTTCATGGATTAAATCATTTCATGTTGAATTGTGTGGATAACAATTTAGTTTAAGAATTAACTGTCAATCTCAACTGTGACCTTATCTCTTTGGGTTTTTTTTAATTCAGCCTGCTACTGTGGCACTACTAATATTGACCTCTGTTGCAAGTTGCCATGATATCTGAATGGGGACTGTTGCCTGCTGAAGGACTTTGTGCCTGTGCCACTGTTCCAGGCAGTCAAGAGCTTCAGGAAAACTAGTGCTCTCAAACTTGTTAGCAAACATGCTGTTCTTCTCAATTATCCAGGGTAAATCCTCAACATTGTAGATGCAGATATCCCTGACATAATGTCCTGTGGAAACAAATATAGTGTTTGTGATAAGATTATGTGTAAATTCTTGACAGCACCTTCTCACATATACAATGGTTGTACAGAGTTCCTTTGATTTAGCCAGAGTTTCAGCCAGAGTTGTAGTGGCTGATGAAAGTTTTGTAGTTGTCATACCATTACAGCCCTGATGTGCTGTCCCTTCTTGGTCTTTCCATTTAATGGCTCGAATGTTACCCTCCCAGCCAGCGTCCACATTGCTGCCAGGGGCATCTGTGGAGATGTTGAACAGTGTGAAAGTAGCTAATATATTCATCATAATCCGTTTTGATTAATTGCCTACATGTTCTGGCTTCTCATACTGTTTCACCAGCAGTGATTTTTCTTTTGGCAAATGTTGGCATCTCGTCTGATTATTTGAATATCTGTGAATCATATTTCATGAGTAGTGTGTGCTTACCTTCCACATGGTTAAGGGTTACCCAGTAATGCTCATCGGGGCTGTAGGTATCCTTGGACCACTCCAACAGGTCTTTGGCCACTGAGCTGGTGAGCACATATTCCACAAATGCTCTTTGCAGACTATAGTAGGCTGTACCAAAGTAGATCGTCAAGTTGTGTGGAGGGGGAGTCTTTTGGTAACCTTCACCCATGGAGGCCACATGCTCACCTTTAACTTCTATATGCTGTATTTGAGTTCTGTGTTGCATGTTCTTTGGCTGTTTTACCCCTGGAGTCATATTATTATCTCTCCATTCTGCATCTTGCATATATCGGACCAGCTCCAGGTTGCTCTGAACAGGAAAATCCTGGCCACACAGGTTTATCACCCTTTGCCATTTGACTGGAGACCTCACCAGGTCCTCCATGCAATTAATGTCAGCCTTCAGGCGAGAAAAACCAGCATAGGTCACTGCCTCGCTAACTGAGGCTAGAAAGACATTGGGAAAACACATTGCCAATCTCTCAACACTTACTCTGTAGTATTCTGGAGCTTTGGCATCTATGTGAATGCAGTAAATATTGTGTGGTGCATAGATGGCTCTGAGCAGACGCATAAACATCTCCAGGTCTTTGTGGATAGTGATGATGAAGGCCAGAGGGTAGTTCTCCTCTTCTTTGCTCAGGGTCTCCATAATAAAGTGAAGCTCAGCTTGTATACGGGAGCAGTTGAGTGGATTGTTAAAGCTCAGCTCCTGGCATTCTGTTCTTTCCCATCTTGTGCAAGAGGTGGTAGGTGGCAAAGCTTTACAGTTTTCAGGGAATGGACGGCAGCTGAAGGTGCGGTGTAGTGGCCTTGGAGCATAAGAAGGTTTACCTTTAAGATAAATGACTGAGCAGATCAGGATGCTGATTCCAAGGCATAGAAGAAAACTCCACTTGGCACTCTCAAGCTGGAGCATAATCCAGCATCAAGCAGACCAGTCTATGTATGACCACATGAAATGTGTAGACAGAGTAAAATAAAAATGAGTAAGTTAAGTGAAAGGTATGCAAACTCATGGCTAAATATACTGTAATTGAACATTTTTGCTGTTAGCAAAACAAATCTTGTTAACAGCAAAAATGTTCAATTACAGTATATTTAGCCATGAGTTTATGAGTTAGTGCTTTTGCTTTTTTCCAGAAAAGAAAATTCTTTAACACTTGCTACAATTAATAGAGCTCCTGCGCCATAAACTAACAGGACTAGACAAGACAAGACAAGAGAAGCTTTCTAGCTAGCCTGTTGGTTTCCTGACAAAAATTTATATTGCAAAAGAAAGTAACCCTTTCAGCATTGCATTTATGCCCATTATTCCAGGTTCTACTCACAAGCGTAGTCACATCCTAAATTTAAATCTGACTGGCATCAGAGTTAGCAAGGTATTAAGAGTCCCCTGAACGAAGCAATATCTGATCTTTTGTCTGTTTTCAAATGAGTACAAATTATGGAACTAGGTCTTATTTACTCCATAAGACGCCATAAGTATACCATGCAGCAGATCCTAGCTTGGTCAAAAAATTGATTGAAATAAACAGGTGAAATTAATCTAGAAATAAGTTTACAGCAATCAGGTAATGGCCATGGCAGCATCTATGGCAACTTTCGCTCAGTACTATGCAAATTTGTACTGTTGACTGCACCGTTATTAATGACATCTGTGATATTTATATATTTGTGATATTAATACATGTTTATACGTTTCATGATTTGGAATAATATTCATGGATTTGTAGTTAATTCATTAATGCTTGTAGACTACTTCATTAATATGTTGTATTATAAAAGACTTTGTTTAAAGTTTTTCTATTTAAATAATTTATAATTATAATTATAATAATAATAATTATTATAATTATTATTATTATTATCGGACCTACCAACCTTGCAGGAACGCTGCATTTTAACACCAGAGTATGCTGCAGACTTTATAGTTACAGTCACTTAACTATGTTTATTAGGAATGCCACTGAAAAAGATGCACTTTTTCAGGAGAGAGAAAAAAAATGATAGAAAGTTTAAATAGGCCTATAAGAAAGTGTCAAATCTAACACTTTACAAATAGTTTTAATGCTACTGATAATTAGAAAGTGATTAAAAACGCAGCTTGCTGTCCTGCACTTGTAGCACAGACATGCTCTCTAAGCAGTGGTGGTAGCTCAGTGGTTAAGATGTCTGACTAGTGATCGGTGGGTTATGAGTTCAATCCCCAGCACCACCAAGCTGCCACTGCTGGGCCCTTGAGTAAGGCTCTTAACCCTCAGCTGCTCAGGTGTATAAATGAGATAAATGTAAGTCACCCTGGATAAGGGCGTCTACCAGATGTTGTAAATGTAAGCACCTGGTGGCTACTGTAAAACCTTGTACATATGCATGCTAGACTTTCTACCTCAGATAAATGATTTGTGAAAGGTTTAAACCAAATCATATTGAAAATGTACTGTGTTTTTACTTCACCCCCACCCCTACAGGGAGTATGCGTTATTGCTCTTCGGGGTTGGCAGATCTGTATTATTACAATTATCATTATATTATCATTATTGTTGTCAGCTCTTGACTGAGCAGCTTGATGTCCCATTTGCCTACAGGTTGACTACTAAAACATCTATGTCTAGCCTTCTCATTTGTCATCAGTTTTTGTTTGACTGCCTTTCAAAGACTGGCAAATATTTTTCAATGACCTCATGCAAATTTCACATTATATTGTTTTTGAAAGCAGGTGCCCAGTGTTGTATACAAATAAGTTTCTCTGTTTCCATTTGCATATCGCTGTCAGAGTAACACACATACATGCAATGTGAATGCACATGCTCCTGCTTCACAGAGATTGATAACACTTGTTTTCTTAACTGATTTCTTCCTTCCTGAAAGATAACACAAAGAACTCAACTACAGCCCTTCCATTCCTCACAAAGTACTAAGCGCTAAGTGCCTTGTGGAAATGAATAATCTTTAACTGGACATTTGAACTCTTTTATACAAATGTCCTTTCATTTCAGTCAAGCTGGCATATAGAATAGAGTAATCATTTATAAAATGTTCGCAGCAATGTTCTTGACCTGTGAAAATTTTCCACCAAGCCGTCACACACGTTAAATCTAGTGACCTAGTGGAGGTTTTCACAACTATCCCCTGTCTCACACATGACTTAATACATCAACCAAAGAGGGCTCCTACCTTTTAGCTGCAGCAGAGTCTGGTCCTATCATTAAATAAGGTTAACCATTAAATAACTCTGACGTCCAGAAAAGTCTGCTCCACGGTGACCTCAGCTAAACACATGCTGCCTGAGGCAGAGGAGAGTCATGCCTGCTGTAGTGCCATTCAGTTAGGTCGTGCGTGCTGTAAGAGCTGCCGACACACACACACTGCATGCAGATAGGGTGTTATTGAAGCTCTTGTTTCTGCTGCTGTGTAATCAGTGTGCTATCCTCTCTTCTCTGTTTGACTGGCTGCTTGGCTGCTCAGCTACATTCCCCATGTGATACAACGAGAGAGAGCTCACCAGAGAGAGGCGTAATGATTTAGAGGCTGAGCTTGCCTAGCAACTAGTCATGCCTCTCTCTCTCTCTCTCTCTCTCACACACACACACACACACACACACACACACACACACACACACACACATTCTCCTCCCCTCTCTTGACTAATGTACTTCCCATTAGACTGATTCTGGGGCCCATTCACACTCACTTTCTATTTTTTTCATCATTTTCACATTTTCCTCCTTGGTTTCTCTTTTTTCATTTTCTTTCCATTTGTGTCTTTCCTTTGCACCCATTGTTCCTTCTTCCATATTTGTTCCTTCTTCCATAATTTACATAATGTTTTTTTTTTGTTTTTTTTACTTTTTTAAAAACATTTTTACTGGTGTTTAAATATGAGGTTGGCTCCCTGGTGTTTCGGATGTTCTACGCCCTAGGGGCAGCTTGTTTGTGAGCTCTGCCTGGTCAGCTCAGGAGATTAGTCCTCTTGTGTTGACCTAGATTATAGGTACACTGCTCTGGAAGACAGTTATTCCCTTTTTTTCTACTAAATTTCAAATGAAATGGCTTTTATTTTGTTCACTTTCTGTAGCAGAATAAGAAGAATTGCCTTTAAATTTGTTTTGTCATAAAATATTTTCTTGAAAAGTATGGGGACAGGAACATTTTTGTCCAAATATATTTTCAATCCCTATTTACAGTATTTTTTTGTAAAATATGTATCCCATTGCTGTTTGCCTGGTTTGTTTCCCCAGATATGATGAGTTGGACACACACTAGAGGATTTAGAGGACTCAAAAGGCTTGAGTCAATGTCATCTGAGCCATTATTTGTATAGCATCTGAGTCAAAATCAGCATCAGCAAATGGAGGTATTAACTTCACTTCATAGTAGTGTATTTACGATGAAGCATATAGTTGCAGTTGCCTTTCACCTGCTTGCTATAAAGGGCTTTGCAAGTATTCTTACATTACTTACATTCTTCTCATGAACATTGCTCACATTTATCTTTTGCAGGCAAATACCTCAATTCCTACTGTGGTTAGTTAACCAGAAATGCAGAAATTGTGGTATACATAATGTGATGTTCTAGCAGTGGCTATGCTTCTGACTATGATGCTTGAAATCAGCCAAAGCTCAGTTTTGCCTTACATATAGGTTGGATTTAAATACCCAATAAATTAAAATGTTGAATTTAAATGTTTGCCATAGCTTATATATTTGATTTGTTATTGCAAATATAGTAGTTGTTAGGGTAATAATCAATATTGGTGCTATTAGTTGTAGGAACCTTAAGTCTTTGTCAGTAAATCAAATGCATTTTGTAACAATATTTTTTGAGGCTCGAAACAACAAATAAATCAGCTGCACACTTTCATCTGTACGTACCTCTTTCCAAAAAGCTACACTATATGGCCAAAATTTTGTGGACACCTGACCATCACACTTATACAGTATGTGCTTTTTGAACATCCCTTTCCAGATTTAGTCTCCCGTTTATTGCTATAATAACCTCCATTCTTCTGGAAAGGCTTTCCACTAGCTTTTGGAGCGTGGCTGTGGGGAATTGCAAGGCCACTCAAGTTATTTCACACCACCCTTGGTAAACTAGGTCTTCATGGACCTCACTTTGTGCACAGGGACATTGTCAAGCTGGAACATGTTTGGGCCCCTTAGTTCCAGTAAAGGCAATTTGTAATTCTACAGCATACCAAGACATCTTATACAACTGTGTGCTTTAAACAGTTTGAGGAAGGCCTACATATGGGTGCTATGGTCAGGTGTCCACATACAATGGGCCATATAGTGTGTTTCACACATTGCCTGTGTAGGATAGGTGTGCATGTGCCACTTTTCTCATGAACTTTGTCTTCTTTGTTTCGATGAATTTTTCTTCTTGTTTCCCTCCTTTACCTGTTTCACTGTGTGAGTGGACAGTGTGCTCATGGCTCCAATTCCTGGCAAATCTTCAGCTGTTTACAGACGTGAAAATTTGTAGCCCCAATTGTGATTAATAGTATTTTCTAACTGCTTATGCATTTCTTATATCCATTGGTTGCACTATCCCTTCGGCCCTGGTTTTTGGACAACCCTTTTTCAGTGGGTTTTGCCATTTGGGCCACTGTTCTCTCACACCCAGGGAAACAGGACATAGTTAAAAGCAACAACTGAGTTCCTGGGGGCTGAGAGCAAGTGAAAAATAATGTGCGTTTCAGAAGAATGGCAATTTGTTTACATTTATTTAGAATATTCCTTGGGGATATCAATTTTGGCACACATATGTTTTAGGAGAAAATACTATTATTTAAAAAGCCCTAATGAGTTATGTTTTGTTAAAACAAAGATAGTTTATGTTATGTCCAATGTAGCATAAAGGAATGCACCGTTCTGTTCACAGAGACTGTTCGGTAATCACGATGCATGTCTGATTGTGCTGTGATTGTTTAGTCCTGCCTAGAGCAGGACGTGTTAAGAAAGTAGAGAGTAACAGTAAACATTCAAATGTTCGCTACATCTCTGGTGT